GTTTGAACCCAGGAGCTTTTTGCTTTCAAGCTAAATTGGTAACCACTGCACCACAGTGCCAGTCAAGTATGGTATAGTAGCATAAAAAACAGACGAGTTCAATTGGGAAGCAAGGTGCATTTGTTCAGTGAGTTGTTGTTTGGTTGTTTTTTAACAAGCTGCCCTTCAATTCGACAACCGCTAGGTGATGCAGATGACTTTTCACCTGTAAGAGTCGGGCTTTACCTTCCATGTGAAGATAAATTTCTGCACTGACTTAATGTTAATGTTTGATCTACTGGTCATCTAGGAGATATCGCGACTCGATGCCTTAACGTACTACAACTTTTATACCCTTCTGAGGACCTATAATAAAGCTGCCCTTGAAACAGTTTGTTAAATAGTGTTCGAATGTTTATTTAAATCTATTTTTCTTCTTTTTTAATTATTAATTAATTTATTTTTTTAGGTTTGTTCTAAACCCGGGGACATTAACTCTGGGAATTCAGTCTAACTCCAGCTTTCATTATGTTATCCCAATCCACTCACATACTCTCTCTGTGTTTTCTGTGCTGTTTAGGTGTGGAGTTCCCTCCTTGTACAGTTGAAGTTTTCCGAGTCCTCGAGTGGATCGACTACCCCCGAGACGCCAATGGAAACATCATAGCCATGGTTCACCCCAACCTGCAGGTAAATATTCAAATTTAGAATTGCTCCAACCTTCAATCTCGAGCATTCATGTCATGTTTGGACCGTTGAGTCTATAAATGTGCTGCTTTAAGGAGGAAATGAGATTTCTTTAGATGACGTGAGGATGTATTGTTTCAGTTTAAACAACATACTCGAGTTACTTTCCCTGTGGCTCTTGCTTGTTATTGTTGCAGGACTGTGACTGGGAGCCGCTGAACCCTGGTGACCCAATGTTCCAGACATTTGATGGAAAAACCATCCACTACCAAGGCTCCGGGACGGTCTATCCCACTTTTATTAACGAGGCAGCCTATTATGAGAAACAACAGGCCTTTATAACCACCAGGCGAGAAACCTTGGTAGCAAGTGCCATCATAAAAGCATGAAGAACTGTTTCTTAAGGCTAACAGCAATCATGATTATGTATTAGCCACAGGAGCAAACTGTATCAAGATTTTGCACTTTGCTCTGTTAGAAAACAGCAGAAATCCTGCAGGTTAGATTCCATCTTTTACAAACTGATTTAGGTTTTTATGCATTCACTATCGGAAAATCACTTAACTATGCAAAGAACATTTGTGCAGGCACTGTGACAGTCTTTGATCTGAAGACTACTATATTATTGTGAGAAGTATTTATGATATTGTACATATTTACATTAAATCAACTAGATTTTTATTATATTAAAGACTAGGCCTAATCATTGATGGCTCCTCAATCATCCTAAACACTCCTTTTACGTTTCCAACTACTGCTCAGGAAGGCTGTGTAGAGGATCGTCACCTGCAAACTTTTGACTCAAACTGTAGATGTTTGTCTTTTTTCTGAAAATATATTTGTATCACGTGTGGGGGTGGGGGGTTGTTTTGTGGCCTTTGATACTACCTACCTGTAACTCCGTTGGTTGCATCTGTGGTGCTGTCCTTTTTTTGCCTTAACTGAGATTTCAGAGACAGTTGTGCAACAAATCTGGAGTAGAGTTTTGTAGATTTTATGTCTCGGTTAAAAGTTTCGATTACAGTCTAAGATCTCTCCCACATAAACCAGATGCAGTGTGAGATGTGTTTTTATAATATATCTGTCTATTTTGATATACTTGTATTGTAAGTTTGCTTTCAAAGGGATGCATAGAACTTGTCGCATTCTGGAAAGCATATTTACTTTTTAATGTTTTCATCTTTATGTTGTCCCAAAGTGTCTCGCTGTGGTCTTAGACTTGAGCAATATATCTGTTAGAATCATTTCTGTGATTAGTGAAATTCACTGTACTAGAAGTCCTGCGGAAATGATCCTACCAATAAATGTTGTACTACTGTGTGTTTTACAATGTGTGCTGCTTTGACCCGCGCTCGTTTAGTCCTGCAGGGCATGTGGCCACAAGAGGGCGTCATGCAACCACTGATTAAAGTCCCTTACACCGTGCACTGTGGTGCAGTACAGAATATACTGGAGGGTGCAGCCGGTGGAATCGTGTCCGAGCCAGTTGTTTTGCTCCTTTGTGTGTCACTGGTGCATCATGTGTCACAAGAACCTATCCACTTTTACAGCAGCTCTCCTGATCACAGAGCTGCTGACCCACTAAGGAAAAATTGCAGCTCTCTACTTGTGTGGTTTTTTTTTTTTTTTAAACACTTGACCCATCAATATGTTTCAATATGTGCACTTTCAATGCCTTTATTTCAAGTACTCTTGTCCCATAAGACTTTAGGTATAAGATTCAATACAACTTTGACACTTACAATATTATATATTTATATATTATACATGTGCCGTACCGTAGAAGGCACCCATATGTATTTACAATGACACTAAGTGCTGTAATTATAACATAGCTGGATAGTTTGTTCATGCGTCTCTCTTTTTGTTGATGGCAGCAAAGAATTCGAGTCACTATCTGAGTTTAGTGTTTCAGGAATCCAAGGCATCTGGATTTGAATGGAGGTGAAGGAGTGCTGAGAGGTGTGTGGAAAAGTTTAAGAATATGTTCACTAAAAAGGGTTGGATAGTAACACAGAGTACATACCCACAGCTTGTTGGGCTGGAGGTGTTATTTAAGCTGTGAATATATGACACACACTCACACAAAAGGGAACTCATTTAACAGGCATTTTATAATATTGTTACATTCTGGTTATCTATTGAGCACCTCTGATCAGTGTGGTAGGTGTGGTTGTAGCTGCGAAATGTAATTAAAGCAGAATTCCAGCTTTGTGCACACTCTTCTGCATCGTTTACCCACTCAGGTATCTGTCGACTGAATACCACACACTGAGCAAACTTGTTAGGTGTCTGTTTCACTGATGTTAAGCGATGAAATGAGTAAAGCATGAGAAGTATGGCTGGATCAGCTACACAGTCATGTTTATGCAGTCCCCAAAGCTAGCTGTCTTTATTATAACTTGTAGACTAACCAGGAAAAGTCCACGTTTTATGCTTTCTTTGTCGTATCAGGCCTGTGATTGGTAATCTAGCTTCATAGCTGGTCGTAGTCTTTGTAGACTATTCATTACAGTAACCCAATACAGGCCCCCAGGCCTGCAATGAGTGCGGATCAATGGCCACTGAAAGCTTTCGGGAGAATGATCTTTCAGTTCTGGGCGGTTATCCAAATGGGCACTCAGAAATACCAAGCACCCATCTCTGCCTGCACCCGCCTCTCTCTGTCTGCACAGATAACTTTCTTCTATGTTGTATAGCATTACACTCTATTTTACTGGAAGGCTCCTGTCTGGCTTCTTACCAGGCTCTTCTTTAATATTATCAGGACATAGCTGCATGAATTTTGACAATCATGCTTTACGTTTACTTTTTTATGGAAGATGAGTCTCCCAGAGATGGGCTCTGTTCATATGAAAATCACAGACATGGAGAGTCTTCAAAATGACACATACTTAATTATTTACCAGCTAAATGTCCAATAAATGTTTTTCTGCTGTGCCACAAATCAAGATGGGGAATCAAGCTGACCTTCTTCTCAACACACTTTTTAGCAATCGTAAACTAGCAGGCTTGAAAACAAGGAGGAGAAGGAGGATGTGTGCTTGAAGTTATAGCATTGAAGAGACAGGTGCGTGTGAAAGGTTTTTGTACATGAGTTCCTGCAGTATTTTTGTTTCCTCTGCAGACAGATAACAAGCTACCTGATAGATAAAAAAAAAAGAAAAGTGCGTCGTCCCTTCCTTAATGTCAAACCACCGAAACCTGTAGCTATAGGGAAGCAAACCAAACATCTGCTTTCAGTCTGCTTGGTCTGCAACATTACATGCTGCCCAGTGTGCCCGTGTATGCAGCTGAAATGTGGTCAGGAGGAATTATTTTTTTGTGTCATTTAAAGCAACTTGCAGGTTTTTGAGCTTCCTGTATATCATTAAAGGTTTTTCAAATGTGTCAACACTGTAACAAGATTTGTTCAGCATCTTTGTTCAACAGACCACCAGTGTGGCTAAAATAGAAAACCACAAACAACAGAATAGAAACAAGTTGACAGTATATTTAGATCAGCAGTGTTTCTTCACAATAGACTGAACTGGCAAAGATACAAACTACCAAACAGATCAACCTTTATCTGGAATATAATTTATTTTAAATGTGCACCACCAAGCACTTTTGCTTTCCTGTAGCAGTGCTTGTTGCATTCAGATCCTGTCGGATTTTTTTTATGTTATTATTATTATTATTATAAGGTGTGAAAAGAAATTCAAGAATAGCGTTCAAGTAAAACTGGTTAGTTTATCCGCAGATACAGTGTTAGCAATCGATGGAAATATTAGTCATGAGTTATAATATTCTAACATCCCTGCCCTCATCCTTATAATAATTGTTTTTTTAATTATTTGTTGTTGTTTTTTCTGTTTGCTTGTTTTTAAACATTTTTTTTTGCCACCAGGCTATACCGCACACATCCACTTCAGAATCCGCGGTATTGATTGGATAATGCTGTCACGAAACCATGGCCACATTAATTCTCCCAGCGGCACCTGAACGCACCACGTCTGGATACAGGAAGTCTCGAAACTTTTCAGCGTAGTGGCAAACTTGTCTGCATTAGACGCAGGAGTGCGCCGTGCGCCAGTTACGTGTAGGAGGTGCAAGATGGTCAGAAAGTGCTCAAGTTAATACCGTTTATTTGTTTGTTTTTTTTCTTTTCCGGAAAACAAGTGAGAAAGGAACGTGGATTTACGCGACAGTGTCGGTGAAGACAACAGTTAGCTTCAATATTTTCTGACTTGCATGACAAGACTGCGACGGGCGTGAAGCCCCGCGTGAACATCAATATGTGGGAGCAGGAGGAATTCGAAAAACACTGGAGGAAAGAATTTCCCGACGGAAAAGTACCCCAGATGGATTTGAACTCTGTAGAGGACATCGAGTCCGAGCTGGAGACATGCAAAGCCAACCTGAAGAGGCTCCAGAAGGCTCTGGCAGAGGAGAAATTCAAGGTGATTTACCTGGAGACCACCGTGGCCCGACAGAAGAGAAACGACCCGGAAAGGTTTGAAGGCAAAGATGAAAACTTTAACGCTGACATGTCGACCTTTTCCAAAACGGAGAATATCAGGAAACCGCCGCGGCGGGACGCCGAGCGTGACGAGGGGAGAATGAAGGCGCTGGACCCCGGTGGCATGAAGCACCACGCTGCGGGTAGCAACACAGCGGGGCTCACCAGCTCCTTCGGCCGGGAGCGAGGCAGGTTCAGCGGCAAGATGGGCAAACCAGTCCCTATCCCGGTTCCGCCACAGAAGCCCATGTTTTGTAGAGTGGACACGGCCCCTGCCATCGTCCAGCGTGCAAATGACAACGAGGAAGGCAGCGACCGGGAATATGAGGATTTGGAGCTGAATGAAAATTTCGTCAGGAATAACTTGTTGGCACCAAAGACTGCGGGAAGAGACGGTAAGAAGACTTCCAGCGCTCACCGGGACAGCCGGCGGCCTTTCCGCCACAGCAGGGAGTTTGACTCCGATGATGGCAGACTGTCACCGTCCTTCCCCCACATTCAACGCAGACCCTCCCGAGGCTCGGGGTGCAGCACCCCAGAGAGGAGGAGTGATGGGTACCTGAGCTCCGACCACGATGACTCCTCTTCCGCAGGTAATGTCAACACCACTGCCGCCGGTAATGGCTATAAATAAGAAGTGCAATATGTAAATTAGATTTTACTACATGAAATGGCCTGGTTGGAAGATCATTGGCAGCTAAGCTAGGCTTTAATTCTGGATTTATAGTGTAAAAGCCAGATGGGATCTGTAGTCAAGCATTTTAAACGTGTCAAAGGCACCGATCCCAGGGAAGGGAAGACACAAGGCTCCATAAATCATATCTACAGATAGCAGCTTACTTCAAACTGAATTAAATGTGGCATGTTTTTATTTGCAGGGTGCTTTTTTTTAAGCAACCAGTGTGAGTACTGCAATTGATTTTGTGCTCCAGTACTCAGTCATTTACAGCTGATCAGCAGTGTTATGCAATTCATCGGTTTCTGGCTCTTACTTCCTCCTTCCACAGTGAAAATAAAGGAAATCTCAGCAGATGCAAATGCACTTATGTTAGTCAGTGATAATAATACGAAATCAGTCTGTATTTTGGCACGAGTGCGCCTGGTTTAGAGATGATCTTTATTTGTTTAAAACGCAAGACGAGGTGTATTCATGTAACCCCATTTTAGCTTTTCAGATTCACCCACGGAGAAAAAACAAGTTTACCGTGTGCCAAACTAATTGCTGAGTGCTGTTACAAAATATTTGTAGTATTGTCCTGGACAAATGCACAGTGCAAACACCTGTTTCTCTGCTGTAGTCTCCAGTAGCTTATTTTTGCATGCTGAATGGGGCGTGTCAAGGAAATGCCATTCTTTTAAAAAGCAAAGGGTATGTCACACTTGTTCTGTTGGAAATATGTTTTTCTGTGTTCTGACTTATTTTTACGCCTTAGTTGCTCAGGTTGTTTCATTTACCAATATACCCCCCCCCCAAAAAAAAACAACAACAAAAAAACAAAGGTCAATAAAGCAACACAGTTGCCTAGAATAACTTCTCTTAATAACTGCTCTTCAATGTTCTCACACAAGTCAGACTTGTGCCATGACTTTTATTTCTACTAAATGTCTTGCATGTAACTCCAAACCCTAGTTAATATTAAGCTGAATTTACCTTCAAATAATAGAGATCTGCGTAACAGATCAGTACTTTTACTTTATTAATTTTGTTTTTGCTTGATCAAGAAGAAAATGTTTATCAGCGTATGACTACCTGACTCTGCTGGATGGAGTGGATTTCATGAAACAAATAAAACCCTGTATAAGTGTGGCTGACGAACAGATCCATAATAGACTAAATGCTCTAAGTGGTGTTGTAGATATCAGACATTAGGAGAACTACCACCTGTTATAACAGACCTACTGCAGGATAAGGTAAGCAGTAGGTGTAAAGATAAGGACAGGATTTCCTTTGCAAAGCCCCACTCGAGCATACCACTGGCTTTTTAATCATGTAGATTAGAAGGTTACCGGTTAAATGAAACCATCTTCACTTGTGTGAAGTACTCTACATTGTCTATATTGACCTTGAAGACAAAATGTTCCCTTTCTATATCAGCGATCTGTAAGACGTCTATAGTGTCACATCCCCCTTGAAGCAGCTTCAGTTCAGTTGGTGGTAAATACAGATACAGCCACATGCACTGAACAGTCTGGCGTCTTTTATAATATGAGTCATATTGAGCATGTTGGGATGTTAGTCAGTGGATTTATTGTAAACGGACTTAAAGTCCTGTTCTGATGTCATGCAAGTGCTGTTTGACGCAGTGAGTTCAGGAGTTGAAACACCTCACAAGTTGCATGAGTAACCAGAAAACCAGCATAGAGGTGGCTGTGCATGTTGTGCATTTCACTGCTGCAATGCATGGTTCTGGTAAACGTATATAATGTCAGCTTATCTTATTTTAGCGAGGGCTGTGTCTTTATTTGTAGAAACGTCAGTGATGAGCTTTAGTCTACAAGGTGGTTTGAAGTTAGTCAAGATTTTTCTTCCATGCTGTTGTTAGTCACTTAAAGGTCGCACCTCAAAGTTAAGATTTGTTTAACTTGGCACTGAGCTACTTTATGTCATTGCCACAAGTCTTTATGACATTTGTGGCACATTGTCTCTTCCTGTGTCTGAGGCCTGTAAGAGTTTCTTACAGGCCTCAGTATAATTTCTGGTAAGGGCTGGGCAGTGGTTTCTAAAAACTCCAAACGGGAAAGCAGAATAAAGTGGGAAATTGTAGAGAGAAGGGAGGCAAAATATGAATAAAAGACAAAAGGGACGAAGCACAGATGTTTTCTGAAAGAAGAAAGGGTTGTGGAGAACACTCGCCCGTGACACTTTGTATCTGAGGTGAGAGGTGCTAAATATTGAACTGCAGAGGTGCTTGCAGTTCCTTGCATGTGTCTCCCCATATTTCCTGTCTGTGTGCTGGACTGGACAAACATCCTTTATGTCTACTTCCATATTTACAACGCATGCCATCGGACCACT